TAAACTCAACACAAGTCAACCCAGCCCAATTAATTTCAACCCAACTCAACCCAACCCAACTCAACCCAACCCAACTCAACCCAACCCAACTCAACCCAACTCAATCCAACCCAACCCAATTCAACTCAACTCAAACTAAACTCAACACAAGTCAACCCAACCCAATTAAATTCAACCCAACTCAACTCAACCCAACCCAACTCAAACCAACCCAACTCAACCCAACTCAACTCAACCCAACTCAACCCATCCCATCCCAACTCAACCCATCCCAACTCAACCCCACCCCACCCAACTCAACTGCACCCACCGCCATCCAACCCATCCTTTGACCTCCGAGGACCCTCCCACCCCCACCCCCGCCCGTCCTGCAACCCCCCAGCCTCCCTCCCACCCCAACCCCACTTCTCTCCCCTAGGCTACAAACCCTGCGACCCGGAGCTGGTCCGTGAGCGTGTGGCCACGCTGGAGCGGCGCTACCAGCAGCTGACGGAGCTGGCGGCCCAACGCCGCGCCAGCCTGGAGGAATCACGGCGCTTCTGGAAGTTCTTCTGGGACGTGGGAGAGGAGGAGGCCTGGATGCGGGAGCAGGAGAGGCTCCTGAGCTCCGAGGACGTCGGCCGAGACCCAACCAGCTCGTTACGCCTGCTGAGCCAACACGCCGCCTTCCGGCACGAGCTGAGTGGCCGCGCCGGGCCGTTACGGCAGGCGATGGACGAGGGCCGGGCTTTGGTGGCCGAGGGGCATTCGGGAGCCCCGCGGGTGGCCGAAAGGCTGGAGGAGCTGGAGCGGCGCTGGCGGGCGCTGGGGGAGCTGGCGGAACGACGCGAGCGGAGCCTGCGGGACGCGGCTGCGCTCTTCCAGTTCCAGGCGGAGGCGGCGGACGTGGAGGGCTGGCTGGAGGACGCGCTGCGCCTGGCCGGCAGCCCCGACTTGGGCCACGACGAGTTCTCCACCCGCAGCCTGGCGCGGCAGCACCGCGAGGTGCAGGAGGAGGTGCGGGGCCACCGGCCCGCCATCGCGGCGCTGCGGGAGCAGCTGGGGGCTCTGCCCGCCGCCTCCGCCGCCGATCCCGGCGTGGCCGGGCGGCTGCCGGCGTTGGAGCGGCGCTACGGGGAGCTGTGGGCGCAGACGGAGCGGCGGCGGCGGGAGCTGCAGGACGCGCTCGGCCTCTACACCATGCGCAGCGAGGCGGACGCCTGCAGGCTGTGGGTCGGGGAGAAGGAGCAATGGCTGCGGGCGCTGCTGCTGCCTGACAGGCTGGAGGACCTGGAGGTGGTGCAGCAGCGGTGAGGCAGCCCGAGTCCGGGTGACACAACGCCACACAACAACACAACCCCACACAACCCAACACAAGTCAGCCCAACTCAACCCAACTCAACCCACCCCCACACAACCCAACCCAACCCAACTCAACACAAACCAACACAACCCAACCCCACACAACCCAACACAACCCCACACATCTCAACCCAACACAACCTAACTCAACCCAACCCCACACAATTCAACCCAACTCAACCCAACCCAAAGCAACTCAACCCACACAACTCAACCCAACCCAATCCCACACAACCCAACCCAACCCAACACAACACAACACAACACAACCAACACATCTCGACCCAACCCAACTCAACCCAACCCAACCCCACACAACCCAACCCAACCCAACCCAACCCAACACAACTCAACCCAACCCCACCCAACCCAACACAACCCAACCCAACTCAACACAACCCAACCCCACCCAACCCAACACAACCCCACACATCTCAACCCAACACAACCCAACTCGACCCAACCCAACACAATTCAACACAACCCAACTCAACCCAACTCAAAGCAACTCAACCAACACAACTCAACACAACTCAACTCAACTCAACCCAACCCAACCCAACCGCACACAACCCAACACAACACAACTCAACCCAACCAACACATCTCAACCCAACCCAACTCAACCCAACCCAACCCAACCCAACCCAATTCAACTCAACTCAAACTAACTAAACACAAGTCAGCCTGGCCCAATTCAATTCAACCCAACTCATCCCAACTCAACCCAATCCCACCCAACTCAACACAACTCAACCCAACCCAACCCCACACAACCCAACCCAACCCAACCCAACCCAACTCAACCCAATCCAAATCAATCAAACCCAACCCAACTCCATCCAACCCAACCCAACCAATCCAACCCAACCAACTGAACTCAACCCAACCCAACTGAATTCAACCCAATCCAAATCAATCAAACTCAACCCAACTCCATCCAACCCAACCCAACCAATCCAACCCAA